CCAGTTGCTGTGGAGAAAGACCAGCAATCCATTGATCAAGGTGCACAATCTCGACAAAACACTTTAAAACAGGGAAATAGGACGTGTGTTTCTCCATTAATGTTGAATCAATTGGAGAAAAAGGATCTACTTTGGTGTTGCCCTAGTTCTGGTGGTAAACTATTTTGGTTCAGCATTTGCACAGACGCATCAGTTTTTCACACAGAGCTAAATTCCCCTGTTTATGATTGGAAAGTATCAGTCAGTTCTCCTTTGAAGTTGGAGAACAGGCTTCCCTGTCCATTAGAATTTAAGATTTGGGAAAGACTGAGAGATGGCAAAAATGTAGAACGACAGAAAGGTTTTATATCGTCTCGTGGAACTGTACACATGTACTCTGCTGACATACGGAATCCTATATATATCATGTTATTTGTTGAGGATGGTTGGGTAATCGAAAAGGTAAAATCTTAATCACTTTGAGGATTTGTGTATGGTTATGTTCATATTAATGCAAATAGGAGGAAATGGAAGCTATTACTATTTTTGGGCTTTCCTTTTGATGATTTCCTCCTTTTCTCATCTTGTAAAACAGGACCCTGTTCTTATTTTGGATCTAGCATCTAATGGTCACGCTTCCTCATTTTGGATGGTTCATCAGCAAAGAAAAAGGTCTGCTGTTCAGTTTAGACTATTTGTCAATTATGTTTGATTATCGTTCTTTTGTATAAACTGCAATGTGCTCACTTACTATCTATATTCTTCCCTTGAATATGTGGTTTATTCGATCTGAATTTATAACCTATTTGATGTGAAGAATGAGGAAGCACATAAGCGGTTCTTCTTCTTCTACCTTTTTTTTCCCCCTGTTTCTTTCTTTTTCCAATTACTAAATCTGTTGTGATTGTGCAGCAAGCTTTATACTGGAAGGGCTATTCATCTTTTGTATGCTTTATATGTATGTAGAAATTTGACATTACAATGTGATTTTTAGATCCCTAAAGGTTGGCTCATATAGATCCCTAAAGGTTGGCTCATACATTATGAGTGACAAGTTTGAAAGAGAGAGAGAGACAATTTTTCTGCATTCTTCACTGCCCCCCACCCGCCTCCATCATAATAGAAAGAGAGAAGTAACAAATACATGGTTTAAGAGTGATAATGATCATTGTGACAGTTTTATTTACGATA